CTCAGAGTTTTCTCAGATTATTGTATATTTAAAAATACTACAAGAGGGTGCTTCTCGAGGGTAGTGAACTTTAGAGCTGCCAGAGATAGTTGACTTGCTCCAAATCTGTTACCAATGGATCCCAAGCTGGTTTAACTCAGTTCTATTCTGAGTAATGACACATATGGCTGGGACAAACGCCACTCTAAGATATTTCTAGGACCCCCCGGCAAATGGTAATTTATCTGAAGATAGCCAGGCAAAGGAAGGACAGATGGGAAGAATAAGTCTCCTGGGAGCCCTACGTTGAAGCAAGAGTCCTAAATCAACGCCAGGGACCACGTTCTCAAAGGTAAGTCCCCTCTCATCACTCACCCACTCACCCCCAATCCTCTGGCTTCCAGCGATTCTTTCAACCATTCTTAATATAGGTCATTCTAAAGAGATAATCAAGCTGCAACAAGTTTTAGTGGCAAACTTTCAGTCTTTCCCCTATACCCTGTCTGCTGGGATTTCAGCATGAAGCATCCCAGCCTACAAGCTTTCTGTTTTTCCCATCATTCGAAGCACCCCCTTCAGGAAGCACTGGGACATATGGGTCTCTCAAATCCAGCTTCTCCCTTCCTCTTTTACTATTATTCACCGCCCCCAGATTTACTGAGGTATAATTGACAAATAAAAATTGTATTTACTTCAGGCATACAACTTGATGTTTTGATATATGTATACACTGTGACAGGTTTACCGCAATCAAGCTAATTAACATATTCATCACCTCACAGAGTTACCATTTTGGGGGGTGGGGTAAGAACAACTAAGATGTACTCTCTTGGCGAATTTCAAGTATATAATATGGTACTGCTAACTATAGTCACCGTCATCTATGTATCCAGATCTTGTTCAACTTGCATGTCTGAAAGTTTGTACCCTATAACCAACATCTCCCCATTTCCCCACCCCCAGCCCCTGGTAACCACCATTCTAGTCTCTGCTTTAAAAAGTTCAACTTTTTTAGAATCCACATATAAATAACATCACGAACCTGGAGGACATTATACAAAGTGAAATAAGCCAGACACAGAAAAACAAATACTGCATGACCTCCTTTACTATTTTTTTTTTGGTATGCGGGCCTCTCACTGTTGTGGCCTCTCCCGTTGCGGAGCACAGGCTCCGGACGCGCAGGCTCAGCGGCCCTGGCTCACAGGCCCAGGCGCTCCACAGCATGTGGGATCTTCCCGGACCGGGGCACGGACCCGTGTCCCCTGCATCGGCAGGCGGACTCTCAACCACTGCGCCACCAGGGAAGCCCTCCTTTACTATTTTTTTACTTCTTACTCTCTGCCAATTCCTAATTCAAAGAAAGAGCCCAGGTTGTCCAAGGTCATGGAACAAGGCAAAAAGTACACTGGCCTCAGAGTCGGAAATCCTAGCCCCACTACAGAATTACTGTGTGATCTCAGTTATGTTCCTAGCCTGTCCCTGCCTCATTTGCCTCATCTGTAAAAGAGAAGGATGTTTATCATACCTGACTCGTGGGCTGTTGTGAGGACTAGAGGGCACAATGCATGCGAAATGTTTTGCAAAATGAAACACACTATATACCTGTTAGTGCAACTCACACCAATGTTCCCTAGTGTAACACCCCAAGCAAGGCACAACGCCACCATCCATCTCTTGCAAAGGGCCAAATGGCCAACTGACTTGGGATTAAGCATCGCATGTGACATTCTGGAGCATTCACTCTGCCCCAAGCACTGAAACACTACCCCCATTTAATCCTCTTAATCTAGCAGCTAGGCAGTCGTAACGTTTTGTAGCTGAGGAAGCAGAGGCTTGGAGAGGTCATGATGCTGGTAAGGGCAAGAGCCTGGGTCTGCACACAGGCTTGGCTGTAAAACCCAAGAACTCACCCCCTGCCTCATGCGTGCAAAAATGGTCTCAGACAGGTAGTCGTCGCAGGAGGTAAGGTGAGGTTTTGTGGAACCCTTAAGAGCTCCCTAGAAGTAAAATGCTGTTTAGCTCCAAGATGTGTGGATTGTGTGTGTGTCATCGGGGAGAGAGGTGTGGCCGCCCCTCCTTCCTTGGTGTTCCCACGTCTCCATTTCCCCCTCTGCTGAGAAGTTAAATGGCAGCCCTGAGAGAAACATCATGCTTTAATTTTTACTTTAATTTTACTTTGCCCCTCTGTTTATGAGGCAGACTTCCTATCACTAATACAGCAGAAGGAAAGGCTGTTTCTTGGGAAGAGAGCTCATGTCTCCTCTGACATTGCCAGGGTGACCTTGCAGTGGCAAAGAGTCCCCCTGACAGGGAGGGGTGGTCGGGCAGATCTTGTTGGAGGTAAACACCACGTGGCCAAGCCAAGCACTGTACCCCGAGAAGCAGAAGCCAGGTGATTTGGTGGGGCCGGGGGCAGAGAGATGGGGAGAACACCTCCGCATGGCTGTCAGACTCCTCTCTCATGGGGGAAACTAATTTCACGGAGTTTCCAGTGATGAGTATTCTTCTGAGGTGCCATCTATTAACTTAGTCTGACCTTCCAAAAATGCTGACAAGCTGCATCTTGCCCACTATTTGTACGTTCACTGAGGACAGAATTTTTTTTGAATGCCCATCTCCATGAAGTTTCCGGAACACAAAAGGAGCTTAATAAACAGGGTGAACACTGCCTCTGCCATCATGCTCTGTGCACTTAGACACGAGCAGAGAAGAAACCGGTTTTGCTGCAGCCAAAGCTTGCCTCTTCTTGTGGTCAGGAACCACCTCTGGCCACTGTCATCACCTCATCCTAACAGGGTCCTACCCTCATCTGGCCACCTGTCTTTACGGATGCTGGAAGCTGAGCGGGCCCGACAAGAACAGAAGGCTGACCTAAGAGGAAGCAGGACGCTGAGGCCTGGCCAAAGATAAAAAAGAAACTGTGCTCTGTGGTGCTATGTCTGCGTCTAGACCCACCTCTAACCAGCTGGGGGACTTAGTGCAAGTCACTTCCCCTCCCTGAACCTCAGGGCTGTACTGCAGGATGGGGCAGTTAAATGCCATAATATTCCCCAAGCTTCCTCCTAGTTCTGGCATTTCCTGCACAGTGCACTGGAGATGGGAAGGGCTCAGGAAACACTTTAGAAGTATGAAGAACATCTGGTTGACCTTAGCTTGTGTCTTCCCGACCCGCCTTCTCCTCAGGCTTGTGTGTGGGTGTAGATGATGGTGTGTGTTGGTGGGGACCCAGGAGGACGAAGACAGAGACTAAAGCTCAGCTGAACGGCAGGTAGGATATCTAAGAAAAAGAGGGGAGTGTTGGGGGTGAGAAGATAGCAAGCAAGTCACAAGTGGAAAAACTGCCCAAATACGTTCTTGGACACAGGCTGGGTTGCGAGTCAACAAGGTATCTGGCAGAGAAGTTTCCGGTGAGTGTTCTGGTGAGGATGATCCTCGGCAGGGCCTGGGCCGGGGGTGGTGGGGAGATGGGAGGATGGATTCCAGTGACAAGTGTAAACACACACAGTGCCTGGCACAGGTCCCCTCCCCTGGCATGGCAGCAGGCAGAAGTCACCATGTGGTCACTGCTGCCTCTCAAATCGAGGAAGAACCGTGGAAAGAACACAAGCCTCTAGATTCCAGGGCTGGTTCTGTGACTCGCTAGTTCTGCAGGCTCAAGCCAAAGCGTCCCCTTGCTGAGCCCCATGTCCTCCAAGGCTCCAGTAACAACACAATCAAGGCATCTCTCTAGCAGCTGTCAGGAGGGTAACATCCGAAGAGGTGAAGTGTGTGAAAATACTTGGTGAGTATATGAATATGTCCCAAAATAGCTGAATACTCATTATGATGAAAAAAATCAACAAAAAGGCAGAATCAACACTCTGCTTTGACTAAAGTTAGGAAATGACTATTTGTAAGTCATTGTGGTTCTTTCCCTCGGAGATCTGAATCAACTCCAAAGAAGTCTTTGGGCCGTTCTCACTGGACTCTATTCACACGAGGGGTTTTCAGTGCAGTGCCTCACAGCTCCTCAAACCACGAAAGAGCATCTCCTTCTGCTTCCTGAAGAATGAACCCGAGTAGGACGCTACATTTGCCTTAACACTTTGGTAGTAACACTGTCTCTGGCTTATCTTTAGATAGAGTTAAATGTTCCACATTCAGTCTAAATGGCAATGATGTTGACAAAGCCAAGAGCCCCCAAGACAACCCACTGAATGGGAGAAAATGTTTGCAAATGATATGACTGATAAGGGATTAATATCCAACATATATAAACAGCTCATACAACTCAACATCAAGGAAACCAACAGTCCGATTAAAAAATGGGCAGAAGAGGGAGATTGGTTCAAGATGGCAGAGTAGAAGGACGTGCTCTCACTCCCTCTTGAGAGAACACCCGAATCACGACTAACTGCTGGACAATCATCGACAGGAAGACACTGGAACTCACCCCACATCCAAAGACAAAGGAGAGGCCACAGTGAGACGGTAGGAGGGGTGCAATCACAATAAAATCAAATCCCATAACCGCTGGGTGGGTGACTCACAGACTGGAGAACATTTATACCACAGAAGTCCACCCACTGGAGTGAATGTTCTGAGCCCCACGTCAGGCTTCCCAATCTGGGGGTCCAGCAACAGGAGGAGGAATTCCTAGAGAATCAGACTTTGAAGGCTAGTGGGATTTGATTGCAGGACTTTGACAGGACTGGGGGAAACAGAGACTCCACTCTTGGAGGGCACACACAAGGTAGTGTGCGCATCGGGACGCAGGGGAAGGAGCAGTGACCCCATGGGAGACTGAACCTACCAAAGCCCCCGCCCTCGTCAATGGCAGAGTCAGTTCCAGAGCCCATCCTTCTCTCCACTCTAGAGAACATCACGGTCTCCACCTCTCATGGTTAAAATGCACTTTTGAGACTCAAACCTGAGCAGCGTTCGATCGTTCTCCCTCCATCTCTAAATGCATTTCAGAAAATGCATCTGTGTTCCCCTCAGAAGTAAGCACCGACAGGGAGTTAGGCCCCTGCTCTTACCTGTAAATTTGCACAAGGTGGTAAAACATGAGTGGGGATTTCATTCTCAGAGCCTGCTGGCCCCAGGGGCTTGTTCTTGACCCGGAAGGCTGTGGTGGTGGTGGCAGTGGTGGTCTGAACTGGGAGGGCTGGCTGCCACACGGTCACATCTGAGCCATTGCCAAAGGCTTGAATTGCATTTTCTGCAGTAAAACAGGAGGAAATCCAATTTTAAAGTCAAGCAGCAAATGTAACAGACAGTCTACATGAAGGCAGAGAGGCACACTAGAAATTCTGATGAGAGCGCTGGACTTCTGTGAACCAACCCCATCTATCCATCCACCCTCCACACGCTGAAAGCCAGCCGTGGGTCAGGTGCTCAAAAATTCATTCATTCATTAAACCCTGAGCTGGACACTTAGCTATGCTCTAAGTGCAACAAATATGTATTGTGTCCCTATTCACGTATCAGGTGTGGAGCAAGATCCTTCCCCTGAAACACCCATCAGTCAAGCCTTTTGAAAGCCAGACTCAGACCTGTTATTTGGAATCACAGTCACTGTTCCATCTTCCAAGAAAATGCTTGTGTCAAATTTCTATACTAAAAGCAAACTATTTAGTGTTTTTGTTTGTTTTTTCTTTTTAAAATGTTATTTATTCTTTTATACAGCAGGCTCTTATTAGTCATCCATTTTATACACATCAATGTATACATGTCAATCCCAATCTCCCAATTCATCAAACCACCACCCCCACCCCTGCCGCTTTCACCCCCTGGTGTCCATACATTTTTTCTCTACTTCTGTGTCTCAATTTCTGCTCTGCAAACCGGTTCATCTGTACCATTTTCTTGGTTCCACATATATGTGTTAATATCTTTGTTTTTCTCTTTCTGACTTACTTCATTCTGTATGACAGTCTATAGATGCATCCACGTCTCTACAAATGACCCAATTTCGTTCCTTTTTATGGCTGAGTAATATTCCATTGTATATATGTACCACATCTTCTTTATCCATCCGTCTGTCAACGGGCATTAGGTTGCTTCCATGACCTGGCTATTGTAAATAGTACTGCAATGAACATTGGGGTGCATGTGTCTTTTTGAATCATGGTTTTCTCTGGGTATATGCCCAGTAGTGGGATTGCTGGGTCATATGGTAATTCAATTTTTAGTTTTTTAAGGAACCTCCATACTGTTCTCCATCGTGGCTGTATCAATTTACATTCCCACCAACAGTGCAAGAGGGTTCCCTTTTCTCCACACCCTCTCCAGCATTTGTTTGTAGATTTTCTGATGATACCCATTCTAACTTGTGTGAGGTGATACCTCATTGTAGTTTTGATTTGCATTTCTCTAACAATTAGTGATGTTGAGCATCTTCTCATTTGCCTGTTGGCCATCTGTACGTCTTCTTTGGAGAAATGTCTATTTAGGACATCTGCCCATTTTTGGATTGGGTTGTTTGTTTTTTTAATATTGAGCTACACGAGCTGTTTATATATTTTGGAGATTAATCCTTTGTCCGTTGATTCCTTTGCAAATATTTTCTCCCATTCTGAGGGTTGTCCTTTCATCTTCTTTATGGTTTCCTTTGCTGCGCAAAAGCTTTGAAGTTTCATTAGGTCCCATTTGTTTATTTTTGTTTTTATTTCCATTTCTATAGGAGGTGGGTCAAAAAAGATCTTGCTGGGATTTATGACAAAGAGTGTTCCTCCTATGTTTTCCTCTAAGAGTTTTATAGTGTCTGGTCTTACATTTAGGTCTCTAATCCATTTTGAGTTTATTTTTGTGTATGGTGTTAGGGAGTGTTCTAATTTCATTCTTTTACATGTAGCTGTCCAGTTTTCCCAGCACCACTTATTGAAGAGACTGTCTTTTCTCCATTGTATCTCCTTGCCTCCTTTGTCATAGTTTAGTTGACCATAGGTGCGTGGGTTTATCTCTGGGCTTTCTATCCTGCTCTATTGATCTATATTTCTGTTTTTGTGCCAGCATCATATTGTCTTGATTACTGTAGATTTGTAGTATAGTCTGAAGTCAGGGAGTCTGATTCTTCCACCTCCGTTTTTTCCCTCAAGACTGCTTTGGCTATTCGGGGTCTTTTGTGTCTCCATACAAATTTTAAGATTTTTTGTTCTAGTTCTGTAAAAAATGCCATTGGTAATTTGATAGGGATTGCACTGAATCTGTAGATTGCTTTGGGTAGTATAGTCATTTTCACAATATTGATTCTTGCAATCCAAGAACATAGTATATCCCTCCATCTGTTGGTATCATCTTTAATTTCTTTCATCAGTGTCTTATAGTTTTCTGCATACAGGTCTTTTATCTCCCTAGGTAGGTTTATTCCTAGGTATTTTATTCTTTTTGTTGCAATGGTAAATGGGAGTGTTTCCTTAATTTCTCTTTCAGATTTTTCATCATTAGTGTATAGGAATGCAAGAGATTTCTGTGCATTAATTTTGTATCCTGCAACTTCACCGAATTCTTTGATTAGCTCTAGTAGTTTTCTGGTGGCATCTTTAGGATTCTCTATCTATAGTATCATGTCATCTGCAAACAGTGACAGTTTTACTTCTTCTTTTCCAATCGGTATTACTTTTCTTTTTCTTCTCTCATTGCTGTGTCTTAAACTTCCAAAACTATGTTGAATAACAGTGGTGAGAGTGGACATCCTTGTCTTTTTCCTGATCTTAGAGGAAATGCATTCAGTTTTTCACCATTGAGAATGCTGTTTGCTGTGGGTTTGTCATATATTGCCTTTATTATGTTGAGGTAGCTTCCCTCTATGCCCACTTTCTGGAGAGTTTTTATCATAAATGCGTGTTGAATTTTGTCAAAAGATTTTTCTGTATCTATTGAGATAATCATATGGTTTTTCTCCTTCAATTTGTTAATATGGTGTATCACATTGATTGATTTGCATATATTGAAGAATCCTTGCATTCCTGGAATAAACCCCACTTGATCATGGTGTATAATCCTTTTTATGTGCTGTTGGATTCTGTTTGCTAGTATTTTGTTGAGGATTTTTGCATCTATATTCATCAGTGATATTGGCCTGTAGTTTTCTTTCTTTGTAACATCTTTGGTTTTGGTATCAGGGTGATGGTGGCCTCGTAGAACAAGTTTGGGAGTGCTCCTCCCTCTACTATATTTTGGAAGAGTTTGAGAAGGATAGGTGTTAGCTCTTCTCTAAATATTTGATAGAATTCGCCTGTGAAGCCATCTGGTCCTGGACTTTTGTTTGTTGGAAACTTTTTAATCACAGTCTTAACTTCATTACTTGTGATTGGTCTGTTCATATTTTCTATTTCTTCCTGGTTCATTCTTGGAAGTTGATACCTTTCTAAGAATTTGTCCATTTCTTTCAGGTTGTCCATTTTATTGGCATAGAGTTGCTTCTGCGGTGTCGGTTGTAACTTCTCCTTTTTCATTTCTAATTGTACTGATTTGAGTCCTCTCCCTCTTTTTCTTGATGAGTTTGGCTAATGGTTTATCACTTTTGTTTATCTTCTCAAAGAAGCAGCTTTTAGTTTTATTGATCTTTGCTATTCTTTTCTTTGTTTGTATTTCATTCAATTCTGCTCTGATCTTGATGTTCTTTCCTTCTGCTAACTTTGGGTTTTGTTTGTTCATCTTTCTCTAGTTCCTTTAGGTGTAACATTAGATTGTTTATTTGAGATTTTTCTTGTTTCTTGAGGTATGCTTGAATAGCTATAAACGTCCCTCTTAGAACTGCTTTTGCTGCATCCCATAGGTTTTGGATCGTCGTGTTTTCATTTTCATTTGTCTCTAGGTATTTTTTGATTTCCTCTTTGATTTCTTCAGTGATCTCTTGGTTATTTAGTAACGTATTGTTTAGCCTCCATGTGTTTGTGTTTTTTACATTTTTTTTCCCAGTAATTGATTTCTAATCTCATAGCGTTGTGGTCAGAAAAGGTGCTTGATATGATTTCAATTTTCTTAAATTTACCGAGGCTTGATTTGTGACCCAAGATGTGATCTATCCTGGAGAATGTGCTGTGCGCACTGGAGAAGAAAGTATAATCTGCTGTTTCTGGATGGAGTCTCCTATAAATATCAATTAAATCTATCTGGTCTGTTGTGTTATTTAAAGCTTTTGTTTCCTTATTTATTTTCATTTTGTATGATCTGTCCATTGGTGTAAGTGAGGTATTAAAGTCCCCCACTATTATTGTGTTACTGTCCATTTCCTCTTTTAGAGCTGTTAGCAGTTGCCTTATGTATTGAGGTGCTCCTATGTTGGGTGCATATATATTTATAATTGTTATATCTTCCTCTTGGATTGATCCCTTGATCATTACGTGGTGTCCTTCCTTGTCTCTTGTAACATTCTTTATTTTAAAGTCTATTTTATCTGATATGAGTATTGCTACTCCAGCTTTCTTTTGATTTCCATTTGCATGGAATATCTTTTTCCATCCCCTCACTTTCAGTCTGTACGTGTCCCTAGGTCTGAAGTGGGTCTCTTGTAGACAGCATATATGTGGGTCTTGTTTTTGTATCCATTCGGCAAGCCTGTGTCTTGTGGTTGCAGCATTTAATCCATTCACGGTTAAGGTAATTATCAATATGTTCGTTCCTATTACCATTTTCTTAATTGTTTTGGGTTTGTTTTTGTAGGTCCTTTTCTTCTCTTGTGTTTCCCACTTAGAGAAGTTCCTTTAGCATTTGTTGTAGAGCTGGTTTGATGGTGCTGAATTCTCTTAGCTTTTGCTTGTCTGTAAAGCTTTTGATTTCTCCATCGAACCTGAGTGATCTTGTTGCTGGGTAATTTGATTGTAGGTTCTTCCCTTTCATCACTTTAAGTATATCATGCCACTCCCTTCTGGCTTGCAGAGTTTCTGCTGAGAAATCAGCTGTTAACCTTATGGGAGTTCCCTTGTATGTTATTTGTCATTTTTCCCTTGCTGCTTTCAATAATTTTTCTTTAATTTTTGCCAATTTGATTACTATGTGTCTCGGCGTGTTTCTCCTTGGGTTTATCCTGTATGGGACTCTCTGTGCTTCCTGGACTTGGGTGGCTATTTCCTTTTCCATGTTAGGGAAGTTTTCGACTATAATCTCTTCAAATATTTTCTTGGGTCCTTCCTCTCTCTCCTCTCCTACTGGGACCCCTACAATGTGAATGTTGCTGTGTTTAAGATCGTCCCAGAGGTCTCTTAGGCTGTCTTCATTTCCTTTCATTGTTTTTTCTTTATTCTGTTCGGCGGCAGTGAATTCCACCATTCTGTCTTCCAGGTCACTTATCCGTTCTTCTTCCTCAGTTATTCTGCTATTGATTCCTTCTGGTGTATTTTTCATTTCAGTTACTGTATTGTTCATCTCTGTTTGTTTGTTCTTTAATTCTTCTAGATCTTTGTTAAACATTTCTTGCATCTTCTCGATCTTTGCTTCCATTTATTTTCCCAAGGTCCTGGGCCATCTTCACTATCATTGTTCTGAATTCTCTTTCTGGAAGATTGCCTATCTTGGTTTCATTTAGTTGTTTTTCTGGGTTTTATCTTGTTCCTTCATCTGGTACATAGCCCTCTGCCTTTTCATCTCGTCTATCTTTCTGTGAATGTGGTTTTCGTTCCACAGGCTGCAGGACTGTAGTTCTTCTTGCTTCTGCCTTTTGCCCTCTGGTGTATGAGGCTATCTAAGAGGCTTGTGGAAGTTTCCTGATGGGAGGGACTGGTGGTGGGTAGAGCTGGCTGTTAATCTGGTGGGCAGAGCTCAGTAAAACTTTAATCCACTTGTCTGCTGATGGGCACGGCTGGGTTCCCTCCCTGTTGGTTGTTTGGCCTGAGGCGACCCAACACTGGAGCCTACTGGGCTCTTTGGTGGAGCTAATGGCAGACTCTGGCGGGGCTCACACGAAGGAGTACTTCCCAGAAGTTTTGCTGCCAGTGTCCTTGTCCTCACGGTGAGGCACAGCCACCCCCCGCCTCTGCAGGAGTCCCTCCAACACTAGCAGGTAGGTCTGCTTCAGTCTCCTATGGGATCACTGTTCCTTCCCCTGGGTCCCAATGCACACACTACTTAGTGTGTGCCCTCCAAGCATGGAGTCTCTGTTTCCCCCAGTCCTGTCAAAGTCCTGCAATCAAAGCCCACTAGCCTTCAAAGTCTGATTCTCTAGGAATTCCTCGTCCCGTTTCTGGACCCCCAGGGTTGGAAGCCTGACGTGGGGCTGAGAACCTTCAATCCAGTGGGTGGACTTCTGTGTTATAAGTGTTCTCCAGCTTGTGAGTCACCCACCCAGCGGTTATGGGATTTGATTTTATTGTGATTGCGCCCCTCCTACCGTCTCACTGTGGCCTCTCCTTTGTCTTTGGATGTGGGGTATCTTTTTTGGTGAGTTCCAGTGTCTTCCTGTCGATGATTGTTCAGCAGTTAGTTGTGATTCCGGCGTTCTCGAAAGAGGGAGTCTATTTAGTGTTTTTTTTAAGTACCACATCCCTAATTATGATACTGGGGTAACTCAGTGGCATTCATAGAAATTTGGCAGCCAGTGAAATCAAACAGCAAAAAAGTGTGATTCGCTACCACAGAGCACCTACTATGAGCCCAGCATTGCTCAAGGTACAAACGCAACCAGTTTCTTTAAAAGAAAAATCTATCCCAAACCTCATCAATAATATATAGTGAAAATTTAAGTAAGATTATTTTTTCCCTTTTTGCTCCCAGCTGTCCAAACAAAATCTGCATAATTAGGAAGGAGCAGCCCTGTTAAATGAAAAGTTTAAAATGTAAAACTTTAAAAATCCTATTACAATTTCATGGGATTAGATTGTTTTTATGTCACAAGTAAATTGGATGTGTGTTGCTCTCCTCCCTAAGATGAATAAAAAACAGTTTTTAATCAGGTCCTTGGGGATTTGGCGTGGATTTAGGAATTTTTTATTTCATATTCATTGTATAAGGTATCAAACTCTTCCATTTGGGACCTGAATGTGTAAATTTTTAATATATGACTCTTAGCTGGCATTTTTCGATATACAAGACAGAATAATTTAAGCCTAGTCTTCCTCCTAGAAGGGACATTTTGTTCTAAAATTGTTGTCCTTTAAGTTCAGCAAATTGGAAGCTTGTTTTCTAAAACGACATTTTTTAGGCTGTAAGAAACCGCTTCAAATTAATATCAATGCTTCTAATGCTCCCATCCATGTGACATGGCTTAACGGGTGGGAGGAAGGTAAAGAAAGAGGTACTTGGGGGACCAGTTTCCTTAAATGACCCAGGATAACAACAAGAAAACAGCAAAACCTTCCTTTTTCTTGTTAAGGCATGTAGATTCAGGAAACCCATGTCACTTGTTGAAACTGTCTGTGATTTCTAGCGTGTTTGCCTTGCTATTTGGGAAGACTGTCCACTTGCTCATTCATTCGTTCAAGTGTCAATGGAACATCTATTGAGTGCCAGTCACCGCTCTGTGCTGGGTATCGGCAGGGGACAACAATGACAGCAACAAGAGACAAAAGTCCCTGTCCTCGTGGAGGTCACATTCTGGTTGGGGAGGCAAATAAGTAAAGTATATAATACATTAGGTGGTGAGAAATGCTTGGAGGAAGATGACGCAGAGGTGGGGTTCAGGGAGCACCAGGATGGGAACGGGGAACTGGAGTTTCGATGGCGTGGCTCAGGAAGGCGAAGGTGGCACCTGAAAAAGGACTTGAGTGACAGTAACTGATGTCTCATCTCTGCCCCCAGACCATTCCACTCTCTTCCCTTCACCTCGGCCATGTACTTTGGCTTGAAAATAACTGTCTCCTCCCCAATTACCAGAAGTACACAACAGGCTGGAATCATGCTCATGATAGGGAAATTGGAGGGTTTTGGTTAATTTGCAGGGAGCAGAATTGGGTTATTGAGTTTGGGTTGGAATCTACATATTCCAATTCCTTCTACTCTAGGGCCTGTTGCAAGAGACTGAATTTACAGCCCTGTGTCTTTGATAGGCTGTGCTCCATCTAATCAAAGTATAAATGGAATGACTATGAAAAATTCTGGCTGGCTTTGGTCACCGGTGAAGACCAAACGCATTTATTTTTATTGAGAAGTCATTAACAATAAGATACCATTATCCCCTTCACCAAAATATTATTAAGCAGGGACAACTTTAATTTCTCTGTGAGGCAGTGGTTTTCCAGCCCAAGTGAGTACAATCTTTTTTCTCACACTGACCTCTGTTGTCATTGCTTTATCTTCAGTGAAACTCAGATTCTGCCAGAACGGTGTGCAGGATGTGAAAAAGAGGGTGTGTGTGTGTATGTGTGTGTGTGTGTGTGTGCACGCGCTTATATATATTTCTTTTTTTTTTAGTCAAGACCAAATAAAAGGCTTAAGGTGTAGTTCCACGGTGTGCCCAATGTCTTGGCAAATGTCTCCATACTTTCGACTAGTTTTATGGGTTTAAATTTCACTTAAGTGTCCAAAAGCTTGTTTTAGTTTTAAGATGATCAAAGCATTGGGTTATAGCCAAGCACCTACTGAGCAAATCACTAAGGTTTGTCTTTTCAACAGAAGAAACAATTGAGGAGGTTTTAGAAGTAAGACTTAAAAGCTTTCCCATGTGCGTGCAGTAAATAGTTTGCTAATTCTTTAGAAATCACTCAGAGCACCATGGAGAAATTGTCAGCTGAGGGCACAGTGCTCAGAGGGGTAGGTGAACCTTGGTCCGCATTTCCCACTGGGAAGTCATACCTGGTCCCCGATGTGCAGGCACGAGTTCCTGTCCATCAGGCCCTTCAATATCAGGCCTGACACAGAAGCCCTCAGGGCACAGGGGGCTGCAGAGGAAGGAACTCGGGCTTTGGATCCTATCTCTGGCATGGCTGGTTTAGGTGAGTACCAGCCATTTATTCAACTGTGAAATGGAGGTAACACCCGCATCTCCTAGGTGCAGGTTACAGTCAGTGCGACAATGTATACGGTACAATTCTCACAGACTGAATTTGTACATAGAGCAGGCACCCGATAAATTAACGGTGGCTGCCACCGCAAAATGCGAATAAGGTATTCAAGCATCTCAGCTGGATCATCGCCTAGAGCGTGCACATCTCGGTGGACAGAATGGAGACCTGGCACAGTGCTTACACAGTTCATCTGATGAGGCCCATCGCTCACACCCGTACATTTCTCTCTATCCCTCTCCCTTTGGGAAACATGTTTCCAAGTTGCCTAAAGGACCCTGCAATAATAACCAGTACTGTTCCCAAGCAGAGCCCACCGCCCGCCCCCCCATCCCCGGCTCAGCTCATCTCCGGAGATAACCGACCTCCTGAAGCTCCTGGCTGCATCACCAGCCGATCTCACTCAAGAACCGTTGCTTCTCCTCGGAGCCAACCCTAAACATCCAGGGGGCTATTGATGTTAACATTCTAATTTTTCTCAGAGAGCCCTTGGAGGCCTATCCCCATCCAACTTGTCTGAGTGTCTCACATTGTATATTCTGACTAGGTTTTAAGAACTGCTGGAACTGACTTGGGGTTGGTTGCCAAGATCAAAATCTCAACTGTGGGTAGAAATGTTCTTTCCCACACAATGTACCCTTGGTTATTTGCATCTCTCACTCTCCTGGGCCTCTGGACTCGCCGTCTTAGCAGCACCTAGTTCATCACTTGCTCCGGCCCCGCTGCATTACGTAGTGAGGCCAAAAGGAGCTGGATTCACCGGCAGCGATCAGGAAAAAAAGGGACACAGAGAGAGACAGAGAGAGAGACAGAGAGAGAGAGAGAGAAGGCAGACACAAGAAACACAAAGGGCCAGCTTGAACTTAGAGGGGAAAACACGTTTGTGTGTTTGTTGCCTGTTGTTTTTGAAACTCACTAAGACATGTGTTGTCCTTGAAGAAATTCAGAAATTTCAAGCACTCCTCCAGGTCGTTTCCACTGTTGTTGCAGTCACACCAGGGGGCCACGCTGAGGCTACTGGAGTCTATGTAGTTGGGGGTCATGACTGTACCTAGAAGAGTAAAAAACAAGGCGTTTTATTCTTGTGTGATGGTATAAACTTTCCTAGAGCCTAAAAAGAAACAAATGTTTCTCTGACAGTGGATGCACCGTGGATAATTACAAACATTGCGTTTGCTGAGTGGAAAATTAGGTTAAACAGTGCATTTTTTGGCAATTTATCTTGAGCACATAAAATAATTTACACATTTACTTAAAAAATTCTAACAGAACTCCTTGAGCTGCACTTAGGGTGTTTTTTGCTGCACAAATGGTATGGATGTCATGGAGGAGGGGAGAAGTAACTTAGAATGCATGAGCTGCCAAATCCCTTGCATTTTCTTGAAAATGTCATTAATCTTCATAAATAGATAGAGCTGGTTTTACACATCTTAAAAAATCCTTTTAGGACTTTGCCTCTACCTCCCTCAGAAGCAATAGGTTCCTTCAGAGTAACGCAGAGAAGCTTAGAAGCTACGCTTATGGGTTACCCCACATTCTGGATGTATACAAGGAGGCCGCTGCTCACTAGACTCTCAACTGATTCAGTGTTCCAAGTTGTGATGGAATTGGAAATAAACAATGGAAATTCTCTAAGCCAATGGCTCCTAGAGTATTGTCTTAAGAGTCCTCAAAAGTCCTCAAAGAAATGCTGGGTGGTCACTCTTGCCTACATCTTCCTGTGTATTCATTGTTCTTCTGATGAGTTCTGTACTGGCACAAATAAACAATGTGTTTATACTTAGCACGACCCAAATGTCTTCTCCTGGGTGGCTCACACCAGGCAATGCCTACTCATGCCAAGAAGCCTTCTGTTTTTATACAGTTTGTGGAATTAAGAAGTAATAGGCAGTCCAGTGAGCCACAGGATATATTTGGTTCAGAAACAGAAAAAAAAATTCTTTTTAAGCTCTTCTGGGTCAAGGGCATATCTTCTTTGCCCTACATTCCTTATTGACTTGAACTAAATAATGTCCCATTATACCTCGGGATGAAAACGTCAACCCACAGCAGAGAGAAGCTTCTAACTTGGGGTGAGAAAGGAACGGGCACCCCAAAAGCTGAGTGAAGAGGTTAGAGTATGTCTACTAAGCACCCACTGTGTGCCTGGCACCAGAATGGATCCCTGACATTTGGAAGAAGTAGGAACAAGCTTTGTCCTGAGAGAAGTTAGAACCCAATGACCAGAGTGGAGGGAAAGAGTTGGACCCAAGAGAGAAATAAATTTTGGTGCACAGAATGCATTGTCTCAACCAGTTATTCCCTTAAATAATGAGGATTTCATCATCCTCAGGCCAGAAACACCTGGCAGCCCTGAGGCTTGGCACCGTATGGAGTATTTCATGAGCATGTGCACCTAGAAGGTACGGACTGAGGTGTAAATAGTGGTTATATCCTGGAGTGGGGCTGTACATCTTTAACATTGTCTCCTTTGCGTTCTCTGTATTTAAAAAAAAAAAAAAAACTCTTTACAATGAGCACTCCTTACTTAATTCAGTTATTTCTTAAACCTGTAATTCCATAGTTGCTAAATAATCCTACTAGGGACTACTTTATTTAAGAAAAGGGGAGAGTGAATGCGAATTTGGAGGGCTGACTTAAGTGAGATAAGCTCATGGGACCTATCCATGAGGATGGGCAATAGCTGGTGAATGGTATTACCCGAGAGCACAGGTATCCCTGCAAAAAAAAGTTGGGATGAGTGTGCACGCACCTGCAACATCCCTGCATTAAGTACAGTCAGTGATTTTCCCAGCGGCTCTGGCTGAAGACACTCTGGTGACAAAGAATTTGGTCTGTGCTGTCACTCTTGGTGGGACCTTCTTTCTGCCTGGTGACTTGTGTGATCCTGGCAGGCGCTCACACCCTGGCTGAGCCATGAGGCTTCTGACAACCGTGATTTCCCTGATCCTTCCCCAGCCTTCATTACCTGTTGCTTCTCAAACGACAATCGTGAGCGAGCCCTGCCACCAAGGCTTCTGCAGCCCTGGTGCCCAGAGCCCTTCCTTTCCTCCTGCTGCCCCTGTTTATCCTTGGGTACAGATCTGCCTCTCTCTGTCCCTCTTCCGACTCACACTGGTGCCTCATTTATTTGCACTGTTCCCCTGAATGCCAAGAACCTGGTTCCTCTAACACCTTAGGTCTTGAAAGACAGAAAACACTATTTCTGCTATGTCTGTTCTCAGGGGAAAAAAATTAGGCGAAACACCCCCTACCCACCAGGAGCTGAATTACCCAGAATATTAATGGCGAGCAGGACCCCCAGTGTTCAGGGATTTTCTTTCCAAAGGGCCATTTCTGGAAAACAGCCTTTCTGACTTCCCCAGCCTGAATGACTTCCAAGTTCCCTCTCTCCAAAGTTCCCCAATACAATTAACTTGGTTTGACTTGCTCTCCTCTTCCATAACCACGCTTTCCCCCCTACTTTTTTTTTTTTTTTTTTTTTTTTGCGGTACGCGGGCCTCTCACTGTTGTGGCCTCTCCCGTTGCGGAGCACAGGCTCCGGACGTGCAGGCTCAGCAGCCATGGCTCACGGGCCCAGCCGCTCCGCGGCATGTGGGATCTTCCCGGACCGGGGCACGAACCCGTGTTCCCTGCATCGGCAGGTGGACTCTCAACCACTGCGCCACCAGGGAAGCCCTCCCCCCTACTTTTGTTCTGTGCGGTCAGTTCTCCAACTGAGACGCTTCCCAGGTCTTCACACTTGCTGCCTTCCAGTTCTTTAATAATCCCTGCTTCCTGCCTTTGCGCATCCATTGAATCCATTTTCCTCCTTTTTCTTCCCCCCTTCTTCAGAGGCGAGTCCTAAAGGACCCAACATCAAAACACCAGCACAGAGCATTCCTAGGAGATTTTTACATCCACAGGGAGCGGCAGGCTACAATGGAAGGAGTCTGAGTATTTGTAAACCAGCATTTTCTCCCATCCCATGTCTCCCCAGTCTTACCAATAAGCCCCGAGTAGGCGAGGAGGCAGTCAGCGTAGTTTTCCTTCAGGCAGCTACTGACAGACCTTGACTCCGGATGGCAGTTGGTAAAAAAATCCACCAGGCGAGATCTGCAACAGGAAGAAAGCAGGGGGTGGGGAATAGGCTTTAAAATAGCCTAAGCTTCTGGACAGACATAACTTTTCTTTACTCCTTCCTTGATAGGCCTTTTTCCACACCAAAAAATACAGAGAACGTGAACTCTTACAATATTAGCATCCTCTCTTATGCGCGCCCCTAACCGTCCCCTCGCCCTCCTGTGTGGGCGCCTTGCAGAGAAGACTTCAGGGCCTATAACTGGAGAAATCTAGATGCTTTGAAGTTTCCATTCAATATTTATTTCTGACTAGACTTATTTGCATCTTTAGGAAATGTGCTTCTCCACACGCTCACCGGAGGTCCACACTGGGAAAATATTTACTTGACACAGAAACATGTCCCTGGCATCAAAACAGGATCCTATAGCCCAACTGCTCCTGTAATTACTCGTGGCTTTAAAAATACGTGTATCTGTCATCTAAGTCATCTCTCAGCCACCACCCCAGGAAGGGGGCAGTGGTTTATTCCAGCCAAGTGATACTGAGGAGGAGCTCGCCTTTCCAGAACTGAAGGGAAAGGCAAAAGGGACAGGGTGATGCTGGCTCAGGGTGCAATTTCACTGTCTGACTGGGTGTAGGGGTCCACTGATCAAAGCGAAGCATCTGTCTGCAGCTTGCTAAGCCTCCAGGGGCCAGCGCAGTCCACCCAGAAGACCTGGGTGGTGGGGAAGGTGCAGAAGTGAAGACAGGGCCAGAGACAACACCGGTCTGGGGAGGAAAAGGGCTCTTTGTGGCCAACTGGCTCTTTTTCAGTCTAAAGAGGATATTGTTGGAGAAATCCTGAATGAAAGCTGGGGCACCTCTGAGGTCATCCGAGCAGACCACAGCTCTGTTTCTATGTGAATAACACAATGGGCTTCAAGAGAATTTAAATTATCTGATAATTATGGGACACAATGGACGTTTGTCTTAGCTTTCTTCCCTTCAGCTCACCCGAGTTGCCAGCCAACATACCCAGAGCTGTTTTTACTTCTATCCACCCAAGAAACTGTATTTACTTAGCATCCTTAATGATATAAGCAAGCTTGCCTGGGTGGAGCTGAACAAGGGAGGATGTCTGGAGAACACAGAGGTTTGTAAAAGGCCTGTAGGATGCACATTCCGTGTCCCTTTCCTACAACTTTAACTGGAAGGGGATTAAAAGGCCTGATGAAATTATCTAAGTTCACAGCACATTGAAAAGGATGGTTCGTATGGGATTGGTCTCTCCTTGAACCCTTGTAAACAAGGCGTGTCTGAGCTTCCCTACCTGTGCCAATCTGTACATCCCATATGTCGTGTGCCTGGTTCCATCACGGTGACTCCCCAGGGCAGGTGTTGAAGCTCTGCTTTATTTTCTTTGCACAGCACCTGACACTCCTCAGACAGGCCCTTTAGAACGCTTCCCAAGCAGGGCCATGTGCTGAAGCTAAGTGGCTTGGCAAAATCCTCCAAATGAGGCTCGTGCATATGCCTGTGTACGTGCCTGGATCTCTCCCACGGTCTAAGCCTAGTTGGTGTTTTCTGACTCTAACTGAACACACTGAAAGGCATAAAACCTAGCCATTTCCTGTAGCCTGGTTAAAGGATTTATCTTTCAGGGGAAATCCCTAAAGGTGACTCAGGCTTACTCAACTGGCACCAATGGCATCCAGCTTGGATTGAGTGTTAATTTCAGAAGAGTTTCCCTGGTCATGAAAGTTAATGATCTCATGGCATTGGGCTACTAACTTTGCAAAGGCCAACTGTGGTTCAGGCAGCTGCGACTCCAGTTCTGCACACAACCTGATCAGCTCTCTGACCTGGCAGCCCCGCGCTCCCAGCTGCCCCGCAGAGACGGTCGAAAGGTCGCGCTGTCTCCTAGTCTCCTGTTTCTCGTAGCCTCTTGAGCAGACTATTAACTGAACAGCACCGTGATGCGGAATACTATCCTCCAGCGCAAGGCTAATGCCACCAGATTCATTTTACTTAACAACCTCAGAACTGACTCACAGTTGGACTCTGGAATGAAAGGCTAATTGAGTCAGTCTGCTGCAGAGGACATAACCCTGATTGGGAGGATAAAACTAGATAGACTGCTCTGAGCATCACCCCAGACAGGTTGGTTTTGGAGAGAAGATTGTCAGCACAGATCCCGGTCCTAAGACAAAACCAAGCCAGTGGACAGCAAGAGTTTCAAAATAATCGTGAGCACATGCAGCACAGCTAAAGCACTAGCATTTCCCTGTTTCCTTCACCTTTGACCCACCTCCCCCTGCCATTTATGCTTGGAGACAGGATGGCCACTTTCTGTGATTCACATTTTACAGATAGAAAAACTGACGTCAGAAGAAGTTTATACAGTGGTTCCTGGAGCCAGCTCATTGCGGGCAGACTGGTACCTTTTCACGAATTTTGCGAGTTGGTTAACATCACGGTGGTGGCTTGAAAGTGGCCTTGGTGGGAATATTTACCCAATGGTAATCAGCAAGTGCTACAAATCAGGGTCTTGTGCTGTTCCTGGAGAACCAGTTGTTACATATTTACTGGCACAGTGCTCTTTAAAAGCCAGCATGATGTCGTCAATCGCAGAGATGAAGGATGTGTCGGGTCTTGGGAGCTGAGTCCCAGCTCTTCCAGGACAGGCTTCCTCTCCCTTTGTGTCAAATGGCATGTGAAATGGTGTCGTAAATTAACCTCCAGTCTCCGGTATTTTCCAAAGAGAGAAAACAGTCCTCCCCAAAGATCCTCACATCCCAGCAGCACAGTCCTCTGAAATCTCTCAAAGCAACGTGTGCAAATCATTACATGTATTGACAAAGCCTCTGACTTCCTGCCCGTTCCATTCACTGAATGATGGGTCAAGTGCTTGTGATAATAACGATGAATAAGTTCCCTGTCCCTGAACTCAAATAACCTGCCATCTAGAAGCTAAGAGAAACAAGTAAAAAGATTATAATACTACAGTGGCTAGCTCTTGATAAAAGGTAAGAAAACCTGCTAATAAAAATAACACAACGTGAATGAAGTATTTAGTATATATTAGGCATGCCTTCATACACTTTATATTTTTCCCTGACAACTCTAATAAGGTAAGGGCTATTACTTCATTTTCCTAATTTTACAGAGGGGGAAACCACAGCTTGAGAGGCTGTAATATTGAGACTGAGACTTGGAGGATAGCTAGGATCCTTCAGGAAAAGGTGGAAGAGGGTACTCCGGGCAGAAGGAAGCAGTATGTGATAAAGTAACCATATTCTTAATAATTACGGAGTGTTTCTACCTGCCAGGCACTGATCTAAGTGTCTGGCATGTATTCACATATTTAATTTTCACAACAACCTTAGTAGGTGATGCTATCAGCCCCATTTAACAGATGGAGACACTGAGGGAAAGAGAGGTTAAGTAACTCCTTCCAGGCTGTAGAGCTCTGTGCCGGAGCTGGAATGTGGCCACATTCAGTGGGACTCCAGAGCTGGAGGACATTCTCAACCACTACACCTAACACATGCATCATCCAGAAAATTGTCAGTCGATCACTTGAGATGGTGGGACCATGGGAGGCAAATGGCTGAGTGAAAGAGATGGTGCTGGCAAGATCACCAAGGGCCTTGAATGACCTAAGAGTTTGGATTTTATCCTGAAAGCAGTGGGAGTCACAGAAGGATTTTAAACAGAGAAGTAACATGAGCAGATCTGCAGAGTAGGAAGACTCTTGGGTGTCTCAGTTATTAAGCAAAGATTTGCTTGAGACCTCTTCTGTGTCCCCCCTGCTCTAACAGCGATGAGAAGAGCAGGATCAGGAAACTGGCCAAAGGCAGGAGGGACAATGGTGTTGGAGGCTGCAGCCAGCGGAGAATTGAGGGCCAGAAGGGGAGGAGGGAAGGAGGATGCCCTGAATGGTGGGTGTTGCTAGAATGAAGGTCAAGACTGCAAAAAGGAGGGGGCAGAATCAGGGTGTGAACAGCTCAGTAGACAGTGGTGCCACGGAATGTGGAGGGGGACCCAGGAGAGGACAGTCTGCAAGGAAGACAGTGAGGTGGGCTGTGGGCGTGCTAAGGTCATGGCGCCTTGGGAGTCAAGCGTCTAGTAGGTTGTGTGAGCCCCAGACCTTCATCTGTCCAGTTGCCAACCAGCCCCAGCGTCCCAGGACCGCCCCCTGCACACGACCTCCTGCCCACCCTGGGTTAAGAATCACGCCGTAACCTTTTTCAGTGGCTTCCTCCGCCTGGGCTGCAGTGATGCAAACAAGAAAGCTTACATGGCCAGTGTGGGATTAACAAAGAAATTCCACAACTGCATTTCTTCTGGAGACATGAAATCTCCATGACGACAGCAGTGATGAACCTGATTGTTTTTCTCTAAGAAAATGAATAGGCACTAAAGTAGAAATGTATCTCCCTGCGAAAGAGAAATTTCCCACCCTTAAAGAGAAGAAAAAGGCCGGCAAATGCCAAGTTGGCCTTAGGAAATCTGCTGAAGAGAAAACAGTGGTTTATGCAGAAAATGTCATATTAAAGGAAGCATGCTGCTAACTGGAAATAGAAAAATGATTATAATGATAAAATCTAGGCGCGTCTTAAACAGCAGATGGTCTTTTGACAGTGGGGGGAAAATCATTTACCTCCTTTTTCTGTTAGCATTTTTAGGAAAATAGTGTTACGGCGAACAGGTAAAAAACATACTAGTGGTGCCCAGTTTCACTCATCGTGGATTATTCTAATCCTTTAAATGTTTTTTTTTCCCCCAGGGCAAATCCCATACTTGGACACAAGCTGTGTGGTTGCTGGAATGGAGACCTGGACAAAGAATTGTGAGATCCTGAAAGAGATCCAGGCTCTGACACTAATAAACCAGAGTTCCTGAACACGATGCTTGACTACTTAGGTCTTGGATTTCCCTTCCACTTCAGAAAGACAGTCTATTGGACACTTGAAGCCACATGTGGAAAAAAAAATCCACTTGTTTTTGAAGCATTCTTATTTTCATCCATGATCCCATTCCACCATTACCCA